GGGCCGCCTGGCCGCCGCCTGAGCCCTCGGCTGTGGGGTCCGCGGTCTGACGGGAGGCCGCCCGCCGAGCACTGACTCCCCCTCTTCTCTCTCCTCCCGCAGGGCGGCCACGGAGGTCCTGGCGGCGTTGCTGAAATCCAGTAAGCACCCCCGAAGCGCGGTTCTTCCTGCCCCCGGGTTCAGCGGGAGGCGCCCTTCTCTCTCCGCCCCTCGTTTCCTCCCTGGGGGCAGTAGAGCCCCTCGGGGGGCCTCTGGGTGCGATGGAGAAAGGTGGGGCCGCTTCAAGCTCGGGGTGTGGAGCTCGGGTCCCCCCCCCCGGGTGTGCCCGGCCTGGCTGGTTCTAAAGCGAGCGCGTTGCCTGCGGGGGCCTGGAGTCCCCCAGCTCCTGCTGATGGACCGGGACGTGGGTCCTGCTGGGATGAGCTCCAGGTCCCGGCGGGACTGTCCTGGGGAGCCACGGCCAGGCCGGCGGGGAGACGGGGTTCCTGGGCCCGCGGCTGTCCTGGGGGCAGGTGGGGTGTGAGCTGCTCCAAGGGCGGGGCTGCTGGCAACACTCCTATTGAAAGGTTGGCTCTTTTCTTGGCTATTTGAGTCACTGCAAGAGAATAGCCACGGGGAGGGGGGCAGGGGTCTGAATAATTGGAGGGTTTTTTTTCTCGCCTGGTAGCCCCAGTCTGATTACGTGGGGAGCCAGCGTCCCGTGTGCAGCTTAATCGAGGGCACCGTGCGCGCTTGGGGGGAGAGGCCCTCGCTTAATGTTTTTATTCCCCCCCTTTACCTCTTCATCTGTTTTAATTTGGCAGCTTGGAAACCAGCTGCTTCAGTTGTAATATTTGTTTCTCTATAGGGAGCTCGAGGCCTGTGGGTAAGAAGTGAACTTTAATAAAACTTAAAAATAAAAAAAAAACAAAAACACCTTCTTCCCCCAACCGTGCGTCTCTGACAACTCGGAGCCCAGGAAAGATCCGTATCCCACGGTGCCGACGGGGGGAAAACAGTGAAGCTTGAGTTTATTTGGTACAACGCACGCGGCTTCCCAGGGCCTTCGGACCTGCGGGCGCAGAGAAGGGGCCTCCAGAAGGTTGGGGGGGGCGTCCAGGGTGAAGAATTAAGCCTTCGAGATGGGACGGGGTGGAAAAGTGTCGCCTGGCGGTCACGGCGAGAGAACAGTTTCTCCTGGACGGGACTTGCCGCAGGTCTGGCGTCTGGGTTCTCAGTGTCCCCCCCTCCCCCCCCCGCGCCCCGTTACTGCTCCAGGTGC